AACACGCTAGAAACGCAAAGGCTCACGGGTAGACGCTTGTATGCGCAGGTGACGACACTCCCGCTTTAAAACAAACTAGTGTTATCCATGACAATGTGCTGATAAAGAGTTCATATCTGTAAGGCTAAACTACGATTCAATGTCACACTAATTTATCTATTACTTTATTGTCTTTACTTGGAAATTATTTTACAGTTGTTATTAGATTTGTAAATTGTATTTCACATATATTTATACTAAAGGAATTTAATATACTTTAGAATGGTATGCGCTAACTGGCCATGGGTACATATAGCCAATCTTCTCTGTGACAAACGCCGTTCCATAACATATAATCGCTATGTGCCAAGATGTAATTGTGAACATCTTGATGAAATCATACGACTATGTGTACGATTTTAACTAAGCAATTAAAAAACTCCTTTTTACAACAATCGATATTCTTTTCTACCTTAGTTAGTTCACCGATTACACACTGCCGCCGATTCAATGTTGAAAATTGGTCACATGACATTATCTCTTGTAAATGACCAAGTAAAAAAGAGCTTCTTCCATCGACACATGTCTATTTCACAGCTTATACAGGCTAAAGCTAACGCAGAGTTAGTAGTCTGCGTATTCAAGACATCGCAGAGTTTGTAGTCTGCATATTCAAGACATCGCAGAGCGTTGCGGCTCATTTACATAATCGATCGCTGTGTATGAAAACCGATTACATTTAGTTTATTGTGATCAAGAAATATTTGTTGGAGTCGTCATTGTGGTTGCGGTTTTGGAATGCTTTCATAACAGTGTCCGTTTCACATTTCGTGACAAATGGCCACTAGACATGCCAGTGGTTAAACAATTGTATGTGCGAGAAAAAGCTGAAGTTGGAAAATTCCCAAGGACAGAAATTGTACAAAATAATTTAGGGAGTGTATTTCATACTTTTTCTCGCCATACGCAGTTACTACACGGTGGCAACGTTACAGTATCGCATCAAACTGGGGGTGGGGGCGCCCTCACATACCGCGATGCTTCCTCGGATCATATTTTACAGTCATGGGTTTACTTCGCCCTGGAAGTAATAACCAGCAAACGTGTCATACATAGTGACTTACCTGGATGACGATTTATTTTT